GTTACAATTGCGAACAGTATGAAATCAATAAATTACAATAAAATTTCTGGTAAGATTATTAGAAAATTGCATATTCTAATGGATCAGGTAAATTTGCGGTTTCGGGATCCACAGCTCACCGAAGCGTTATTTCATCGTTGCTGCTAATCTTACCGTTCGTTCTTTTTCAGGAAAAGACGTTTACCCAGTTCCAATACGACAACCTTTTGTTGTCAATGCTCTAATTGATAACACAAATGGCCTCTTGGATGACTTGACTGGAGACGTGAAAATGTCGCTATGGACCGGTCGCTGGATGGAATTGCCGAACTTTGGATTTTTGTAAGTTATTCTTTTTGTTGCATCCCAACTGCAACTGCAGCAAGCGCCAGGAAGTTAATTTATAGTCCAGTGATATTTGTAAGTGCTTCGTTTCCTTTCCTGCATGGGAGGCGATTAAAAGCAGACATGCTGGTATCATCCCAGCGTTAATCCGTTTTCTCAACTGCGGCCACTGCAAGATATTGGTACCACGCCAAAGAAATGTCGGTCTTAGTCGATCGGAAAATTTTAATTTTAATAACCCGAACATAAAAGTACTAGTTGTCGATCATCTCGGCAGTGTTGTCCAGCTGGTCACCACTTTAGGTCAGAACCGTGGAAAGATAGCAGGATTCTTTAGCAGCATTGTCTTTGCACGGTTTTGAAGATAGCAGGATTCTTGCTGCCGAAATGCCTCAGAAAGGCGGCTTTCGTTAAGCACCTATGTGCAAGGCGCGTTCAAACGCATGTTCAAGATCAGTATTATTAATACCAATGGGTCTTAAAGTTAATATTAAATTATTAATACTGTCAACGGATTACTGATTAACTATCTTGTTAAGTTAAAGAAGTAAATGCCATGTCATCGGGGAAAAGGGATTTGAAGAAGTCATTGGTTTTCGCGGTGTCGAAAACAGAACGTTGTTGCTGTTCGTTCTAAGCTGTTTGTTCCGGTCGTTCTGGTCTATCTAGAGTGCAGCTATCATTATGACATTCCATTTCAATCTTGCAGGAATGGGCTGCTCGAGTGCGGTGCAGGAATTAAATGCCCGGTGGAATCAGGCAAGCAGAATCTGGAAATCACTGTTGACTTAGCACCACTGACTCCTTACACAATGTATCTGCCCCGTACCGCTCCTTACAAAATTGAGTTTCAATTTCGCGAAGGAAAATCCGCAAAGAGATCGTGCCTGGTGATTGAAACGCTCGGCACCACAGCATGACTTATTGTTTAACGCAAACTATGTTTGTTATTTTTTAAGTGAACTGTTCTGTGATCTGTTTCACATATTACAGTAAAACACATTGCTCTGTTTTCAAATGCTCATGTTCTTTCTTGTGCTGAAACGAAACTTCCTGTATAAATAACTTTTCTATTGCCTTGACTGACAAAAATTTTTCCGTTTAAATAAATTTGTATCACTTTGACTGGCACTGTTTTCACATTCACATTTTATTCAATTGCCAAACAGAACACATATATATAAACGCACACGTGTAATGCGTTCGGTGCATAAGAAGCGAAATACAAAAAACACAAAATCACAACGAATCGAATATTTACAGCTTTTAAGATCAGCCTAACGAATAAATTTAACATCTTAAAGAACACTTCGATTCCACTGCTGGGATGAACAGTCAGCCTACGTTCCGCTCATTAGATGATAAAATGGTATTGGCACATTCCAGGAATTAAATTTCGCCAACACTTTACTTGTACACAGCTTTTAAAAAAAGACGCATGTGACAGCCTTGTCAGCGATAGCGATTGCTTTTAACGAGACTTGAAAATTTACTGGCATCGATTTATTCTAAAAAACAAGGAAAATCATGAGTAAGGGCAGGAGATTTTATTTCACCTGGCTTTCCAACTGCGCAATGTAACAAGCTTTCCAGTTGTACTGGCAAATGCTGCATCGCCTGATTAACGTTCGTCTCGTCCCGTGGAAGCTAAAAAAAATAAACAAGCAAATCGCGCTTGCTGTTGTATAGATAAATTTCAAATTAGGGTGAAGCATTGAAAAAACATATAATAACATAATCAAATGGTGCTTGCGTATTTCCAACGTCTATGGATTTTTCAATTTCGAGACCTGTAAAAGCTATAAAGCTGAAACTTTGACTACTTAATCCATATCTTCATTGATCCCCAGGCGTAAAATGAACGTTAATTTCCTTCTGGTTCTCACGTACCGAAGCATGAAATATTTTTTGGAGAGAAAGCGATTTTGGGAAACAAACTTGCTAAAAGACTGGAAACTTAGAGAGATGCTCTTGTCCACGTGTTACCCATCGAGTTCAAATTCAGCCTCACTCAACCCTAGTTCTCACTTACGTATAAGTTAAAGTTCAAACTGGCGTCTTGTCAGCTCAAGAATTTGACGGCGTAGTAAGCTGCAGAGAGCTGCTGAGAGAGAATTTTATGATGTTATTTGCTGTCCACTGATGTGCTCATGGAACTAAAATGAGCTTTCACGTTCTTTTGCATCTTTTGTGCTGAAATATGAGATTTTGACGCAGACCACTTTTTAGCCTCGGAACTAAAACAGCCTGAGGCCTAAAATTTCCTGAGCACGGCTGACGGACCTGCTTAGGCAAGTGAAAGTGCAAATAACTTTCATGTTTCTATTATGCCTCATGTGCGTCCCAAGGGTAAACACGCGAAATTTGACGTAATTTCGGAACCAAAGCAGCTAGAGTGCTGAAATTTTCTGAGCATGGCCCACTGTCGTGTTTACTGAGAATCGCTGCGATAATTTTTTATAACTTTTTGTCCATTCTCAATTCGTTCAGCAGCAACTACCTTCCATAAAACTTTTCATCTTATAATTTAAGAATCAGTGTCCAAAATAATGTAGAAAACAAATACACGCACTGTCAAGATTGATGTAATGGCAAGTGCCTTGCATTTGTGTAAGATGCAGGAACACACAAAAAATGGGAAATCTTTTCATCCGAGGGAAAGACCGTCCTTCACCGCAGAAATAGAACTGGAGAGGGGTGGGTTGGAGGTCTGCTTCAGCGACTGAAAACGGCCTTGCCCCAAAACGCACAAAAAAATGAGTGTTATCTGGAAAGGAAGCCTACTGTTGTTCATACCAGCTATAAGCATTACTAGTGAAATTTATATAATAATGCGCTCTAGGTTTTTTGGTACAGACATGTGTTTTTGTGCTAATCTTGAAAGAATCAGTTTGTTAAAGCATAAATGCGCGTTCGTTTTGGCAACGATCTCGGTCAGTTGGTGTATGTGGGGGAAGTGACGTTAGCTGGGATGGTAGGATGGCATTGTGGGGCCGCGTGAAATCTCAGCCTCCAGCAGTGTATTGAAGGGGAATTGTCGACGATTTTGCATATTCATTTTCAATTCATCCGTACCGAGACGTAGGCATTTGTGAAAACTGATTTTATATTTTGAATGTGCAAAATTTCAAAGTAATGTTTTATTCACCTTGATAAATCTCCTGAGTTTCAATTTGGAAATAGTCAGA